ATATATATTTTTCTTTATTTTATTAACAAAATATTTACTTTTCTTAATTAAGCTGATACCACCATAACTTCACCAACCTTAAAAGATTCCATCTATTTTTGTGTTAGTAAATGCACTCTTATATTCACCTTCACTAGGGGTGGCAATGAGGTGGAGTTGGGACGAGAGTTCACTCCACCATCCCGCCCCATCCCCCGCTACTATTTGGCCCGACTCAAGGGTACCAAATGGGGGAAAATATTCGTCAAAATAAAATTAAATAATATATATAGTTTGACTAAATAAATTTGAAACTCGACTAACATGTTTTTACTTGGTCTGTTTTCAATCTCAAACTTGACTTCCGTAGTTATAAAATGTTGGGTGTGTTTCGGAAAATAAAGAAAATTAATTAAAATAAATTAATTAATTAAAATGACGAAAGAAAAACAAGAAAAGAGATGGAGCAGAATTTGTCAAAGCTCGTGCTACGCACGATGTCCTTAAAACGTATTTGTTGCCTCCCACGGTGCTAGGAGCGTTGCAACAATAGTTTCCCAGGATACGATGACAACGAACTAGTGTTTGAGCACTCAAACAAAAGTTCCAGCGAACGAGAACAAAGACTGAACACAGAAGGAATTTTCAGAGTGCTAGCAGTGTGTTTTTAGAGCTAAAACGTGTATGGATTCGTGTAAAATCGTGTGTAAGAACTTGTCTTGTTGCAAACCACCTGCCAGCCATTATATAGGAGGATTTGTTGTGTGAAAATAGTGAATTAATGGACCTGAACGTTGGACATCAATGACCAGTCCGTTGGGCATTGAATCGTCCATGAACTGTCCATTTAACGGTGCATTAAAAGATATAAACGTTGGGCATTAATTGTTGTAACGTTTCAGAAGCGCGACAGAAGACCTCCATCAGAACACCCCGGGAGGGGTTCTGATCGGAGGCCAATCAGAAGACCCCAACTCTGATCCGCGACCATCAGATAGATTTTTGGACGACATTCGTGTCCGCAGGTCGCCCGCGCACGCAAGTCGCGGTTTTTCTTCTCTGAATTCGGGATTTGATTTGCACCCCCCCCTGCGCGCGTGGAGAGAGCCTTTACCCTTAAGAATCTTAACTCCATAAGGGGGGAGTCCCTTTATAAAGGGTAGCAAATCCCTTGGGTTTTCCGGTGTGGGAAATTAACACACTACAAACCCATCCTTTTTCCCTTCTAACGGGTAAACTTCGAAAAGCGATTTCTCATTCACCCGTTATCCGTTTTGAGCGTACCATATATCGAATTGTAGCCCTTAACAAGGACAATCCGAAACCACTTTGACCCGACCCAAATCGGAAGTGGACCCCACTCAAAAAATTGCCCCAAAATAGCCGTTTAATGTAATTTTTTCACACATTTTTCCAACATAAAATACATAGAGACCAGACGTTTACCAGACCAAAACATACCAGTTCAAATCAGACTTAAACGGATCAGATTAGACCAGACCAACAAATTATAGTTCAAGTAAAAAATCCTTACTTGCAAACAAAACAAACGTTTTTTCCACTCTTTATATTGTAATGAAAAAATGAGACTGTTGCTTCATATAAAAAGGAAAAACATGATAGAAGACAACTGATAATTGAATTTTTATGCATGTGAATTTTTCCTTTTATAATACAATGATTTGCTTGGGATCGGGACCGTGACCGACTTAGTTGATAGGTAAGAGTGGACCCGAGCCGATCCTGTCACGCCCCAGACCTACCCGGACACGTCAACAACCCACCGTACAGTACGAATAGTCAACCGCAGTCCAAGACATCCATACTATACTAGGCGTCTTGAATATCATTCACGCGTAGTACATCCATAAACAAACATAATGTAAAAAATTTATTAACGCAGCGGAAACAGTAATACAAGTGTTCAAGCCACACTTGACAACCTTAGGCATACAAGCCCCCAATAATTATTCAGAAAAATAATATCCATGAGCATTATTATCAATGTTTGAAAACAGAAACGGAGGAAGCGCGAACCACGTCTTCCTTCCTAGACCTTCCCGAAGCAACAAGCACTGGTAGCAAACTCAACTTCTACCTGAAACTGTGAGGTGACCTCCCCGTGAAGGGGAGGTCTGTACTTTGAAGCATTTGAAAAGTACAATGACAACTACACTGTGTATAATCAATGTTTCATTTTGAAATATCCATTCCTATTCTCCCCTGTGACTACTGGTCACGATCATCATAAACTCTTAGTAGATCATTACACCGTTCTAGGGCTTTACTCTAACAGCTTATTTCACTATAGAAGAGCCCCACTCATTTATTTTTATTACGCCGTGCTAGAGCCCCGCTCTAGTCACTCTACATCATGCTAGAGTCCCGCTCTAGTCATCACTACATTGTGCTAGATGCCTAGATCCCTGCTCTTAGTCACCACTACATTGTGTTAGAGCCCCGCTCTTAGTCACCACTACATTGTGCTAAACCCCGCTCGTAATCACCACCACTACATTGTGCTAGAGCCCCACTCGTAGCCACCACTACTTTGTGTTAGAGCCCCACTTTAGTCACCATTACGACGTGCTAGAGCCCCGCTCGTAGTAACATCATTAAATCTCTAAGCATTCTCTTTCCCTAGAATTAAATTACCTTGAGTGGCCCTTGAGGCCTATCCCTAATATTTTTGAATCCTTAAAGTATCTCTTAAGACTACTTAAGGCATAACTTTTCACCATCCAATTCATATGGATTAATTCTATCTTTATTCATAATAGCATCCCGACTAGTATTGAAATACTAGTCGGATAATCTTAGAGCAACCAAGTTCTTAATTCATAGTCATATAGTTCATTCCAATTGTTTTCCAATCCAAATATAATGTAATCTCAATATCAAAAATATTACTTTGGTGAAATTGACACCAAAATTTCATACTTTTAGACATTTTGTAAAATGTCTAAAAGTTCACAACAATAATCCCAACTGAATAATTGTTTCACAAAAATAAACCGGAAGTTAACGGTGTTAGCTTTTCTGTTTTTTTAAAATTTAAAATAAAATGAAGCAAATATTTATTAAAAAATTAATATTATTATGTTTTTGTTAAGTCTTATTTCTAGTATAAATTTAATTTAATAATAACTATTGTTTTTTTTGTAATATATTGATTCGAACTAAAAAACTAGAATTTGATGAGTATGTTTTTAAATATTTCTATTACATTTTATGAAAACTAATGACTGTTAAATTTAATTTAATTCATAATAAAAGTAAATGTAAGGACAAATATACGAAGTACTATGTATATAATATTGTTGATGCTTATACATATTTTTGCTTCATTATATTTAAAATGAAAAAAAAACTAACGGAAAAGTTAACACCGTTAACTCTAGTTTATTTCTATGAAAGAGTTAAATAGTTCGGATTATTGTTGTAAACGTTCCCGGCCCGGTAGGGATTGTTTTTGTAAAACGCATAAAAGTAGAGATTATTTATGTCAATTTCGCGTATTACTTTTATCCATTCATGCATTCTTTACATGAAGTAAAAGTATATTTTATTACAATATTTCATAGTTAATTCAACTATCATGCTATCATATTCATAACACATAATCATACACAATTTCTTCTAAATTTGAATATCATGAATATCCATGAATACCATGAATACCGGTATTGTCACTTAGGCATTTTTAATCATTACTAATCCATGAAAATCACATTTAATTACTTTAGATAATCTTATGTAATTAACTCACTAATTATAAGCAATATAGTCAGTCATCCTCACCTTATGATGTGCTAAACTAGCTGCCTTTGTGAAGTCCTTCGGTTATCCCTCGTTCTGGACCGATCAAAAACCAATCAGCTGGACAGAAGCCAAAAGCCGGGCGGCTTTTGCAAAAGGTGGGCGGCTTTCGGGCCTGCAGCTCGAAAAGACTCCCAACAATGACGGTTTCCGGCGGTTTCAACTTCTATCGATTCCACGACTCTTCTAAGTTAAATACCACAACTTTATAATTCATTCAAATTTAACCCACCATATGATTCCTTAAAAATCATACATAATAATACTAATTACAAGAATATTGGTATGTTCTTACCTCTTCTTTTAGCCTTTCTTCTTGCATTGGGTTTTCTTTCTTGTTGCTTGCTCCAAACTTGCTATTGGTGAGAGCTATTTATTAGAGCTTCTCTCACTTGGGTTTGGGTTGTGCGTATGGCTCAAATGAGGGAGAGGTATTATCATCAATCAAACACCAAGTTGAGGTGTTGATAGGACCATTGGGAGTGTGATTGTGTCTCGGATCACTCCCTCCTCCATAAGTCTGAATTTGTCACTTCATTTTGTCTTCACCCCATTATTTGGAGACCATAAATCATGCAGGAAAATTTCCAAGTGGGTGTGGGTGTGGGATGTACCCGTAATTATTATTGTTATTTCTGGCAAGTTGGATTAAAATAGCACTTGGGTTGCCAAAACATTTTTCTCAACTTTAGTTGGCATTTTATTGGGCTTCTATAATTATTATTATGAACCCACTAATTAGTTGGTAGCCCATTCTCAATATTATAAACCCGATAAATAATTTAATTAATCATTCATTAATTAAATCCATCATTCTTTTACACACAATTATTCGCTAGGAAATTCAAATACATAGTGAATTTTAAATTCAAGTACATCCGAGTGTGGTGTCACAGATACAATCCCGGGAGTGACAGGTACATCCTTATTCATTTTCCTTAGTATTTATTCTTTTCCTAATAAAATCACCACAGATACCAATTTATTTTATAAATGAGATCATATCTGAACAGAACTAAATTATATATTTTCGAAAAGAGAACTAAAAAATAGTAATAAAAACATTCAGATTAGACTTAAAGCATTCAAATTGAACCAAACCAAACGAAACAGAATTCAAAAGAATCTTAAAGTTCAAATTAAATCACAAGAGTGTTTACTCCGTATAATGTTTATTCTAGTCATTAGCTATTTAGGCAACCAAACAAATAATGAAAATAAATATATTAAGTGTTAGGAATTAATGTACGCAACACGAAGAACAATTAAAGAACACACGAAATTTGGTAACCCAGTTCGTCACGAATGACTATGTCTAGAGGCGCTACCAAGCCAGGAATATTATTGCTATTTTCGGATCCACACATGATTACAAGGGAGAGAGCTTGTATTTATAGAGAAGTAAAACCTAACCCCAAGAAACGTGTTTCCAAAAATAAATTAATAATGCTTTGGTTATACAGTCTCTAACACCTTACAATCTCCCACTTTGAGACTGTCTTCTTCAAATCCTCCCTTGTTAGCATGGTAGCGACGACCTTCATCTTCAAGTACCAAGGCCAATTGAAGCTATGCAAAGCTTCAATTTCTCCAAGGTTACCACCTTAGTAAACATGTCTGCTGGATTCTCACTCCCACGGATCTTCACAAACTGCAATGCCTCTATCTCCAAAAGATGACGGATGTAGTGATACTTCAACCGAATGTGTTTGGCCCTCTTGTGAAAAGCTGAGTTGTTTGCCAAGAAAATAGCACTTTGACTGTCACTGTATAGAATGTTATTATTGTACTCCTTCCCAAGTTCCCCAAGTATATTCTGAAGTCACACCATCTCCTTACTTGCCTCCGTAATGGCCACATATTAAGCTTCAGTGGTAGATAATGCAACAATCTTCTACAGTTGCGAAAGCCAGGAAACAGTTGTCCCACCAAATGTAAAAACATACTCGCTGGTGTTCCTCAATCCATCCGAGTCATTTGATGCCAGGTATGCATCAACATGTCCCAGCAGCTCTACATTCTTCCCATCAAAACACAAAGCATTAGAAGTAGTACCTTTCAAATACCTCATGATCCACTTCACAGCTTCCCAATGTTCTTTCCCGGGATCTCCCATATATCTGCTCACTACTCCCACCGCATGTGTAATGTCTGGCCTCGTGCACACCATAGCGTACATGATGGTGCCAATTGCCGAGGCGTATGGGACATTCTGCATTTGAGCACGCTCCTCCTTGTTCTTCGGCGAATTTTCCTTGCTAAGATTGAAGTGACTACCCAGAGGTACACTTGCCGCTTTTGCATCTTGCATTTTGAATCTTTCCAGGACCTTCTGAATGTATTCTGCCTATGAAAGATACAATCTGCCCGCTGCCTCATCCCTTTCGATTCGCATGCCCAAAATCTGCTTTGCCTCTCCAAGATCCTTTATGGAAAAACGTTCTGACAACTGTTTCTTTAGCTTCTCAATCTCCTTTGAACTAGCTCCTGCAATCAACATGTCATCTACATATAATAGCAGGATAAGATAACAGTTCTCAGTCTTCTTGTAGTAGCAGCAATTGTCGGTGTGACATCTCAAGAAATTGATTTTCCGCATGAAACCATCAAATTTCTTGTACCACTGCTTCGGTGCCTGCTTCAACCCGTATAAGCTCTTCAGTAGCTTACATACGAGATTCTCACTGCCCTCTGCCACATAACCCTCCGGTTGCACCATGTAAATCTCATCATTCAGATCACCACGAAGGAATCATTTTTCACATCCATCTGATGCAACAACAAATTCTCTGCAGCGACTAACCCCAACACCAACCGAATAGTAGTTAGTTTCATAAATGGAGAGAATATGTCAGTATAATCAATACCATAACGCTGCTCGAATCCCTTCACAACCAGCCTAGCTTTGTAGCATTTGCTACCATCTGCCTTCTTCTTGATGCGGTAGACCCACTTGCAGTGCAAAGCCTTCTTTCCTCTCGGTAGCTCAACTAACCTCCAAGTATCATTGGATGTGAGAGATGTCATCTCATCATCCATTGCAAGTTTCCACTTTCCCTTGTCATCAACCCGAACTGCCTCTGCATAGGACTCCGGTTCACCACCATCAGCAAGCAACAAATAGAAATTAGAAGGTGAATACCTATTTGGTGCTCTCCGGTTTCTGGCAGGCCGCTGCCTTGGTGGGGTTGATGGATCTTCATCATTACTCAACTCTTCATTCTGATCCTGCTTGCTCCCACCCAAATTAGAGATATCAAACTCTATGATCTTCAGACTTGCTCAGAATCAGGTGCACTCAATCTATCCTTGTACATAACTTGCTCATTGAATACTACATCTCGACTACGAATAATCTTCCTATTCTGATCATCCCAGAATCTATATTCATAGTCATCACCACCATATCCAATGAACGTACTTCACAGATTTTGCGTCTATCTTGCTTCGGTCAACAAAACTGATATGAACATAAGCAACACAACCAAATATGCGGAGATAGGACAGATTAACCTCCTTACCCGTCCACCTTTCTTCGGGAATGTCATTCTCCAACGAGATCGTTGGACTTTTGTTGATGAGAAAAGCCGCGGTGTTCACTGCATCCGCCCAAAACATCTTCGGTAAGCCACTCTTCAACCTCATGCATCTAGCCCGCTCATTCAGTGTTTTGTTCATGCGTTCAGCAACGCCATTACGCTGCAGAGTCCCCTTTGTTGTCTTTTCCATACGAACCTCATTCTCAGCACAAAACTTCTTGAACTCATGCAGTTCATACTCACCTCCATTATCAGACCGAAGACACTTCATTTTCAGACCTATCTCTGTCTCAACAAGAGCTTTCCACCTCCTGAAAGCATCAAAGACATCAGATTTATTTTTGAGAAAATAAATCCACATCTTTCTTGTGGCATCATCAATAAAGGTCATGTAGTAGGCGGATCCTCCTAAGTATGTAACTTCAGCAGGTCCACAAAGGTCGGTGTGCACTAGTTCCAGCTTCTCTGGTTTAATAGCTCTTCTCCCCTTTGAGAAACTAACACGTTCTGTTTCCTGAATATGCAGTCCTCGCATAAGCCAACTTCAACAGTCTTCAGGCCGGGCAGTTTGCCCTTCGAGCATAGCTCCTTCATCCCCTTTTCGCTCATGTGACCGAGACGACAGTGCCACAAATTCACATCGTTTGTTGCAGCGACAGCAACATTGATGCAGTCCTTTGAGTTCGTTGTCATGTACAATGTTCCCTCCTTCCCTTTAGCAACCAGTAAGGCTCCTTTGGTGATCTTCCAGTTTCTGCTGCCGAATGTAACTGCATAGCCTTCCTCATTCAGCTGCCCAATTGAAAGTAGATTTCTTCTCAATCCAGGAATATGTCTGACACCATTCAGTTTCAGCATGCATCCGTTCGGAGTCTTCACGTGGACTGTACCCTTTTCGACAATTTTAAGAGGTTCATCATCAGCAAGATACACCTCTCCAAAATTGTCGGAATGGAACGAAGTTCTATCACTTCAACATTACCACATGAATGGAACGAAGCTCCAGAATCCAGAACCCATGACTCGAACGGACTGCTCACGCTCAGGATCAGGAGATCATCACTAGATGATTCTGCCGCTGCATTGGTAGATGTCTTCTCCTTCTGATCCTTGATCTGCTCCTTGCACTGGCTCTTGAAGTGTCCGTACTCCCCACAGTTCCAGCACTTGATCTGACTTCTGTCCTTCTTGCCCTTGTTGTTTGACTTGGATTTGGATCTTGATCTATCCCGATCTGACTTGGACTTCGACTTCGTTCTGCCCCGGTTCTCTGTACGCAATGCCGATCCAGAAGCCAAGCCTGATTCCTTCCTGCGAATTTCTTCGCTGACCACCAGATTTTTGACTTCATCGAATTTCAGTTTCTCCTTCCCTGTCGAAGCGCTGACTGCAGTCACCGTTCCGTTCCAGCTTTCTGGTAGAGAAGACAACAGAATTAGGGCGTGAATCTCGTCGTCAAATTTGATCTCAACCGCGCTCAATTGTGTGGTGATTAAATTGAACTCGTTGAGATGCTCCGCAAGTCCTGTACTTTCTGACATCTTTAGGTTAAAAAGACGCCTCATCAGGTGAACCTTGTTCGCAGCGGACAGTTTCTTGTACATATCCGATAATATCTGCAACAACTCCTTCGTCGTTTTGCTTTGATGGTGTGTAGGGCGATGTTTCTGGACAGCGATAATCGAACCATGCTCATCGCTTTTCTGTCCAGCAACTTCCAATCGCTCTCCTCCATGTCTTCGGGCTTATCATCCAGATGTTGATACAGATCTTTACCGTACAGGCAATCTTCGATCTGCAACTTCCAGAATCCATAATCCATTCCATCAAACTACATCACCGGTGTCTTAAAATTGTCTGCCATCGTGAGATCTCCCTTCGAACCTAGGGCTCTGATGCCAATTGTTAGGAATTAATGTACGCAACACGAAAAACAATTAAAGAACACACGAAATTTGGTAATCCAGTTCGCCACGAATGACTACGTCTGGGGCGCTACCAAACCAGGAATATTATTGCTATTTTCGGATCCACACATGATTACAAGGGAGAGAGCTTGTATTTATAGAGAAGTAAAACCTAACCTCAAGGCAACTAGAATGCATTTCCAAAAATAAATTAAGAAACGTATTTCCAAAAATAAATTAAGAAAAGTTTTGGTTATACTACAGTCTCTAACAGCTTACATTAAGTAGACTTTTGCCTCAACTTATTTGAAAATTCCTACAATCCCCCACCCCATCTGCCCATCATTGGACAGAATTGTAGATTCACTGTAGTTTTGGAGTCATGACAACATTATCTCTAGCATATACAAGTATTATCAATACTATTCTCACCTCAAAAAGCACCTAAATGGTGTCACATTAATTGAAGGATTTGTTGCGATAGAGAAAGGCATTTTAGGCAACAGAAGCAAGCATCTTTAGGAACTCGAAGCCGGGATTGAAGGGACAAATAACATGTATAGCAAACATCACATTTCACACTGTCATTTAATCAGTCAGTATAGCACACTTACAATATACATAGTACTTCTTTATCTTACCAGTTTAACTGGTACAGAAACTAGTGATGGCAACGGGGCAGATCGGGAACGGGTACACATAAAACCGGAACCGCCCCGTTGGATAAATGTTTGCCCCAAAACCACCCCATTACCAATTTAGATAATTTTTATTTGAACCGTACCCGCCCCAACGGGGAATCGGTTTATCCACGGGTAACCGTTTCCCCAAATGATACCAAATAACCAACTTTTTTGGGAAAACAAATAACCAATTTTTAATCCTACTTGTTATTTATATATTCAAAGCACCCTAAAACATACAAAAATAAACATTTAAGCAATCAAACATACTGACCTAAATTCATTAGTATGACATGCACCCAATATCTCTTGTAACATAATAAAAAAATAGTAATCATCCATTCATCCCAAAATCCAAATTTCAAAAATAGGTTTAGGCCTATATTTAGTTTTAGGCCTAAAAAAGTAGTATACTTTTTAGCATTATTTATATGATATATACTATTTATTATACACAATTTAGCATATATAGTTATTATTCTTATATATAAAAAGTTATAATTTATTAATAATGTTATCGATCGGGTAACGGTGCGGGTACCCGCACCACTAGTGAACGGGGCGGTTTCGGGGCGGATAACAGGGTAGATTAGTATAGAACCATAACCGCACCATTAACCATTTAAAAAATTCGGGTATTCCTCGCCCCGTACCCATTCCCCAGTCAAACCGGTTTTCCCCAGTTTGACCAAATCGATTCGGTGCGGGTATCCAACGGGTCGGTCGAAATTGCCATCTCTAACAGAAACAACACTAGGTGAACGAACTTTCTTGCTCCTAAAATTACACAGATTTAAAGACATAGGCAACAGAAGCAAGCATCTTTAGGAACCCGAAGCCGGGATTGAAGGGACAAATAACATGTATAGCAAACATCACATTTCACACTGTCATTTGATCAGTCAGTATAGCACACTTACAATATACATAGTACTTCTTTACCTTACCAGTTTAACTGGTACAGAAACAACACTAGGTGAACCAACTTTCTTGCTCCTAAAATTACACAGATTTAAAGACATAGGTTTACAAATCGCAGTTCTATATCCCATGATAACCCAGAGCCTGTATACAAATAAACAAAAGGATTAAGGATACATTATTATTGTTACTCATCTGAAAGCAAATATAATTAGGTCATAATAACTCTTACCACATTAATCAAATAAGTCATCCAGTTTTTGTCTGTATTGAGCCAATTTCTGCAAACATGAGGGGAGGTATTGTCAAGTCGCTGGAGTTGTTTCCTTAATCTTTACAGTTAGGTAACCTTCTCTGTTTTGTTTTAGTTATGCGGTATTCAATAAAAATAAAAACAAAAACAAGAAAATGTGTGACTGTTTTTGCTTCAATTTTTGAAGAAAAAAACCATAATTTTCGAAGCTATTAACAAACAGCATATACAAAACAATCATACAATTCATACCAAATATGTTTTTAATTTTATGAATCTGATGAACACACATAAAACATGAAAAATATTATTTTCAAACAAAATATGAAATACTAAAGAGGAAACATACAACTGCATGGAAAAGCAGTGTTTTTGCCGGAAAGAAAATGGGGCACAGTGTTGTACCTCAGCGTATTAATTTAAAAAACTAAAGAGAACTATGTTGGATACAACTGAAACCATACTGAAATAATTGGAATTTCACAATCTGTTCAGAAACATAAAACTATCAAACTAGTTGACAATGAATGCAGATATTATTCATATGTCTTCGCAGAGAATGTCTAAATACTACAGCTAAGAAGGCTGTTATTTACGATGGAAGTGGAAGCAGAGTGAAAACCCTTCAAAATTTAGATAAAATTGGCTTTTCACAAAGAGAAACATTATGCACCCAATGTTGACCAGGACCAAAGTGCTATCAAGATGAATGTGTAAATACACATTATACACCCCAACCATTACTTCAATGATGATCGGTACACAGTACACCATCAAGCAAGATATTCAAGCTGTTATAGACTTTATAGTAAAGACATACTCCATTCAGTTTAAACGGAAAATAAACTCTTTTCTTGAAATGGACAAAACTATTGATACCCTCCATCCCCACCCACTGCAAAACGCCAAATACCAGTGTATACGTATGTAATGCAAATCAGATTTAAAATTCATAAATACGAAAGGGTGCCGTACCTTTTTCTAGCTAGAGAAATAAAAAAAAATAGAAAAGATGATTTTTTGTGCCGTTTAAAAATTTCTCTAAATAAATAATACAGGTGGAGTTTGTGGTAAGTAGGTACTAGGTACGCTTTGGTGGTAAGTATGCACTATGCAGGTGGGCTAAAGAAACTTTCCTTTGGTAAGTTGAAACTACTGAGCTTGTACCAATATGTTCTTCATAAGTGTATAAAATGCAGAATGCCTAAATTGTTGAAGGTCATGTTTTGTAGACAACGAGGAATCTTGATATCGATCAAGTGTAAGAACAGCACAATAATGTCTAGCACAGTAAAGTAGCAAACCTTAGTGTAAGCATAAACGCCCGCCTCTTTTGGCCCAGCTGGACTTCCCCTACGAATAAACCTCCCCTCTTTGAAAATGTAAAGCATGGGAATGCCAGTAGATAGTTCCAAGCTTATGACCTGGCAAAACCAAATGGTTCTATTTATGATTGCAAATGACAAAAGCATGCGGAAGAAATAGTGTCATTTAATGAAATTTCACCTCTTCGGACGTTAGCTTATCCAGGTACATGATGATGGATCTCAAGGAATTTCCATGGGCAGCAATCATAATATTTTTCCCACTCTCAAGTTGTGGTTCAATCTGCACGTTATTTACTTGGAGGTGTGAATATTGGTCCACTTAGACTAGTGGAAACTGGAAATGACACTCTTGGCACTCATTTTTTGGAGTTCACTTTTAGTACTGCAATTATTGTTAGGGAGACACTTTTGGTACTCCTCGTTGAATATTTTTCACTTTAATCATCTGACTAATGTGACATTGACAATTTTGGACCTCCAACATGACCAAGAAATAAGTGGAGGACCAAAAGCATCAATGTCACAATAGTTGGAGGATTAAAAGTGTAATTATCAGCCTGTTGCAATAACTAGAGGAGTAGAAGTGGAAAAAATCAAAGATAGATACCAAAACCGTCATCATTGTCACAGTAGTCGAAGGAATAAAAGTGGAAATCAAATAACAAAAATTAAGGAAATGATTACATCAAGAAACACACACACACACATGTAAGGTTCTTATTCTTACGTTCTCTTTAAAGTAGGCAACTGCTCTTTCGGCACACATTTCCAAACTCTCACCATTTGGGGGAGGTATATCATAGCTACGACGCCATTCATGAACTTTCTCCTTTCCATACCGCTCTGCAGTCTCCTGCTTATTAAGACCCTGCAATTCCCCATACCTGCAAAGCAGAACAAGTATTATGATTTGGATACTCTGGAAATAGACTGTGGTATGAAGAAGATGAGAATGTTGGATGTCAAAATGCTTACATTCTTTCATTCAATTGCCATGCTGTAACAACAGGGATGCATTGCTTTTGGGTCTCTTCACTAAAAATTTGACTCCATGCTCTTGCTTGTTCACTCTCGTTGTGTGTGATGATTGGCACCTGGATAAAAAAAAGGAACCTTAGAGGAAAATGAATTCAATGTATCGGCTCATTTATAATATACAAACACGGAAACACCTTGAGCTTCATATAAAACTTAGAAGTTGAAAAAGAAAACAAAGAATATGCAATGCAGAGATTGGATCAGTCAATCTATCAGAATATTTATTTCAGATGCATCCAGACTCCGGGTCTGATGCCCATGTTTGGGACTAATAGATTTAGAAAATAGGTAATCCTGGGACTGCCCAATCCCTCAAATTGTAGGACTCGCAAAACTCTTTATATACCGTGACTTTTACCAATCTCTAAGGGCCAGTTTGGAACCATAAAAATGCTAGGGAAAGAAAATAGAGAAAATTTGGGGGATAACAAGTTGGTTCAAACTCAATAAAACAATTTAAGATAATTGTTCAGGCTCATTTTATTGATATATTTCTTTCATATAAAGCCAAATAAATCTGAATATATGTAACTATGCAAGATTTAAATAATATTCTACCAAATGTGATATTTCTTCATATTACTTTTTAGGCAAAATTGACTAAAAAAATATCTAATAGCAATCACCCCCCCCCCCTCCCTACCATATTCAAGGATACAGCTGCGGCCTAGGATTATGTAAATTCTCATCGTTCCAAACACAATGTTCTCCAATATCCAATAACTTGATCCCCATTGTTTAACTCTCTGAACACATAATGAGGCAAGATGTAGCGCGTTTACATATGATTAGACGGCATTTCTTTTACTGCAAATTACCTTCTTGCGCCGGTGCTGTGTCATGGCTAGCATGGCAGTCATCTGTGCACGGATCAAAGCAGATGTATAGATCATGTCGACAGGTATGTTGCTGATTCGTCTCCCGGCTTCAATAGCCTCATCCACGCCCTTTTTGGTCAAAGGAACATCAACACAACCAGTAAACAAGTTTTTCTCGTTCCACATCGACTCTCCATGCCTTATCAAGATCAGAGCAGCTTCCTCTAAAATTATAATAAACAAAGAAAATGTCAAAGGTAAGTCTATGTTTCAATTTCCTTGCTCCCTGTCCCACATCAGTTGTCTATTATATTTAAATTGAACATATCTGCATATGACTATAGTAGTGTAGGGAGAACCCCACCCTTCCTTTGGAGCAAGTTAGGGCGTTAGGCCCAATTCAACATGACTATCCAAATGGTGGATTGTGGAGTGTCTACCCACTCTATGATTTGGATCAACCCATCTGCGGATAGATTTGTTCCCATTAGGGCACCTTTCGATTGCCCCGTTGGAACTAAAGGGAGTGTTGAGCATCACACAATTTGAGTCTAATAAAATATATACGTAGTATTTCGGAAGTAAACCCAACTCTTGAGACTAATTTAACCAGGCGTAATACAAGAAAGCATAAAACATGTCAGGCTGAATGGGGAATTATCAAGAAAATGACAATAGAGATTCATACTTGTTTTCTTCTTTGAATCATTTGGAGTGGTGCTGCTAGATGGAGATGAAACAGGTTCAAATACAGTTTGAGAAGTTGACGCTTGAACAACACCAAAACTTTGCTTCTTAGAGAAATGGCTTCCTCTAACCAATAACACAGCATCAACCCTGAAGCCATTTAGTATTGACTTCATTGAAGCATTCCTACAGTCATGATGGAAGCTATAACGGTTAAAGCAACCGCCAGATTGAATTGCTCCTATTGCATGGCATGCTGCTGTCGTCATTCTGAGAAATAGAACACCCATAAAAAGCTCATAAGAGTCCACCAACTACTTAAATAAAGTTCAATCAATAAGAGATGCACATTTCTTGAATGAATGTGAAAGGGTCAAAAGACTAAAAACGGTCTCAAATGTCGAATAATCTGAGTGCTCAAGCTAAACATTTCATGAAACATTTACAAATCAGTGCACCCTTTCATCCAATAACTCGAGCGTCTCCCCAAGAAACAATCCATACACGTTTCCCAAATTTGATTTGAACAAAAAATCAAGACATTACGAAATTATAATGAAACACCGCCATGGGTAGTACTCCTAAACAGCATTTCAATCCAAAAAAACAGACGATAACTTACATGAGGCAGAGCAAGAAAGGTAAGAGGTTGAAGAGTTTGGAGTTCGATGAAAAAGAGAAGATCTTGATGTTCGTCTTGTTTATATAAGAAGAAGCGCAATGAGGGTGCGAGGCAATATGAAGTGGGTGGGATCGCGATGAAAACGAGGCAGACTATAAAAGAAGATGCGAAGTTTATTCCCAGGCGGAGGGGAGGAGGAGGTAGATGGTAAAGAGGTAGATAGTGATGTGCAAGTCGATCTGAAATCGCAAATGCATACAATGATACAACTACTACCTGTAAGTGAAACCCACCAACTCACTGCCCAGTTGTCTCGATGGACTCGAGTGACTCCGGTCAAATACGGACCATTTTCAAGTTTTCTACTCCCTCCCTCCCTCCAATTTCTTTACCCGTTCACGCACCGGTGGGCGTAGCTGAACTGGTAGCGAGGGAGTGCCACAAGGGTTAGGTCTCGGGTTCAAACCCCGGCAACTGTGATAAGGGGTTACTATGCTGAAAAATGCATAAGGCCTCTGCAAGTACCGGGGACGGATCCCACTCTCTATCTATCAGGTTGTGATTATAATCCAACTTACATCCTCCCATCGTGTTGTCCGGTCGGTGTTGGGGGGCCCTCAGGGATGGGGTGTCATCCTTTTTTTTTCTTTACCTGTTCACGCTGTTCTGGCCAATGTTACATTGTGGGATCTGAATTTGCAGTCAAACGTAGCCCAGGCTATATTTTATTCTATGCATATTATTTTGTATGTCAATCGGAAATAGTCTCTTTGTGCTTTAGTATAGGGGTAAGACTATGTACATCCGATCCCCCCTTACGCCACCATAGGTGGGAGCCTTTGCGGCACTGGGGTAAATGATGATCGATGATTGATTGTGAATCGGATTCACAGACAAAAAAAACTCATCACAAACATGGTGGGTATAAGATGAGTATAAAAGTGTGTACAAGAAGAACCTCTCATGTCAATAAGGTGTATGGGGTGTTTGGATATGATTCTTAAAACTGCTTCTCCTCCTTGAAGGAACAGAAGCAGAAGCTGGAGTGTTTGGGTGAAAGTGCATAAGTGATTTTGGTGCTTTAATCTACTCCTAGAATCAGTTTTTTAGAAGTTGGGGGAGACTAGCTTCTGAAAAATTGATTTTGATTCACCTTCTGCTTTAAAAAAGAAGCAGAAGCATAATCAGTTCCAAACACCCTCTATATTTGTCATAAAAGATACTTCGTTCATCTCTTATAATTTTATCAACTTTCTTTTTAATGTTCCACTAACTTCACCATTTTCCCTATTGGTCCAAAATAGGACCTTCGTAGCCTTTTCGGGAAAGCTACGATAGAACACTCAGTAGGAAAATAGAAAGTAGGAAAATGAAAAGAGCTCAAAAGGTTTTAGTTGCCAAGAATAGCATATCTTCATTTGAAATTCGAATTGCCTTTAATAGGCGATTACAAATTGTAACTGCCAACTACAATAGTGACTAATTAATTACAACATTAATACAGAATTAAATACATAATTAATAGCGCATTAAGGATGTTTTTACTTGAACTGTAATTTGTCCCAGACCACACCAAACCACACCATCATACCAAAACAGACCAGACCAGACTTGGATAGTTATAAAAATACAAAGAAATCATACCAGACCAGTTTAGACCAGACCAGATCAGACAAGACCAGACCAAACCAGCAAATTACAGTCCAAGTAGAAACATCATAACTGCTGGTCGTTACTCTTCTTGGCTGACGGGTTGGCCTGACTGGCAGGCCGGACATTCAAGATCCCTGGGCGGCAGTCTTCCGCTGGGCTGGAAGGCAGGCTCCCTGTTGGACTGGAGGCAGGCTCCCTGCTGGGCTGGAGGCAGGCTCCTCCTGGGTCGGAAGGCAGACTTCTGGTTGGACCGGTAGGCATGCCATTTTTGGCTTCCACTCCGCTGGACCTTTGCTCTGTTGGACTTCCGCTCCTTGATGGGCTTGATCGGTTGGACCAGCTCGAGCTCTGGGTTGTTGGGTCCATTGATCGGGCTGTCCTGACGAGATAATAGTCTTGGGCTTGGGCCTGCTGGTCCATGCTCGGGGTCTGGGCCGATTAGGCTTTGGTCCTAGATCCATAACCCCATCATTCCCTTTTAAATAAGAAATGGAATAATGTCAAAAAAAAAAATTTACTAATGGTTTTTACATAGACAAAAAAATTGACCTGATTTAAATTTAGTCAAAAGTGACTAAACTTAAATGAAAGGACATCCTTATTCCTATGCTCGTTCGCAGCACCCCGGCCCTCATCCTTCGCATCGCAGCACCCCGGCTCTCCTCCTTCGCTGCTCATCATCATCAATCGTTGTCGGTCTCCTTCCACCAATCAGCGCCTCCAATTTCTTTTTCTTCTCTTTTCTCTCAGTTGGTGGTGATGGAGGACAAATGAACCTTCATCGATTATGGTCGATGACATCCAACGATGTGAAGAAATCAGCACAAATTGCAGACGTGATGGCTTTGAAGCAAATCTGGTCGACGAATCCGGCGACTCTGAGCGGCGAAGACGGCAAATTCGGCGGCAGCTAGGGTTGATTTATAGTGATGGGCGAGTTACAAGGGAGGCGACTCAAGTTTGAGGCGCACGGCTAGTGTACAGGCGTGGCGGTAGGCGGCGGCAATTTCACTGAACCGGAAACGGTCACAATGACGTGTTTTTCGGCTACAGTGACATCTGCACGACCGATAGTTACATTAAAATCTGATAGTGACATCTATAAGAGACATTAAAATTTGGTAGTGACAATTCACAGTGACACGAAAAAATCATAGTTACATAAAAATTTACAGTTACATGGTCACATTTTTGGAAATTAGGTTTAATTTAGTTTGTAGTACGGAGTAATATTTAGGAAAAACCCCATAAAAATTTTGTAGTTCCACTTAATTCTCTCTGCTCTGCACAAACTTCGATCACTCAAATTTTACTTTATTAATCCTTGCGCCCGTCAATTTTGATAAAGTGTTAAAGAATATGTGATTAACATGTAATACATGGGTTATGTAAAAAAACATGTAATACATGGGTGACAATATATTATTTATAAATTTATTCATACAAGAGTTTAATATTTGGTGTAAAAATGCTTTTAATTGGTCTGAAAAGTTTCGGATATGATGTGATCTGGTATAGTCTATTTAAATTTGATTTGGTGATCTATTCTGTTCTGGTAGAAGTTTTTTATTTGTATGTTACAACTTTTAAAGTCTAATATCGTCTGGTATGTTTAAATCTAGTTTGTTAAAATCTGATTTGAAGGCGGAATCAATTAAATAAGAAAATGTTTTATATGCTTTATACAAAATGTAAATTGTTCAAATATGTTGTCACAATATGCAAAATGCAAACTACGTGTATCAATTGTGTAAATCATATTTTAAAAAATGTAAATTATGTATGTCGAATTTATAAGTCATGTTAGAAAAAATGTAAATTACAGTTGTTAAAGATATACGCAGAGTTATTTATAGGTAACTATAATGGGAACCATGAAACTTATTGAATTTCAAATATGAATGACACAAGCTGAAAAATATATTGTAGAGTTTGAAGAAAAGTTACAAACTTTTAAATACAAATATGTACGATTTCTCTTTTAGATTAACAAAACTTTAGTCATGAGTTGATAGAGAAGAAATAACTTACATTTATTTGCAATTTTATTTATAGATGAAGATGAGCAAAATTAAAGTTGAATTCTTAGTATTTTGATCATGAACAAGAAGATAATTGAGAAAAAGAAGAAAAAAAAGATATATATATGAGAGGGATTGAAGAAGGAGATGGACGGACATATTGGTAAGCCCAAATATTACTCATAGATTCATTAGACAAAAAGACTTATACTATGTATTTATTAAGACAAAAAGTAACTAAATCCATAATTCCCAATGCCTTTGCGATCGAAAATCTTCGTCCTCGTCTATTACGCTGAGACATGGTGCAGCCTCCTTCACACGCGTGCCGCCTCTTCCTCTCTGTCTGCGATGAAGCTGCATGTTCGTCCTCTCTCTTCCAGCTATTTCTTCTTCTTCTTCTTCTCCTCCTTCTAGGCTAGCGTCTAATATCGAACGGCGGGGCGAGTTCGAGCATCAGAAATGGCGAATGGTTTTGCGCACAGGGTTTGATGATCACTGAAATTACTGAAATTGAAATTAAAGTGACTGAAGTACACGAATCAATTATTTTATGGATAACTTTGCCCTTATCTATTTGTAATACCAAACAACATTTGATTAATCGTGTAAAGTAAATCTAATATATTTTTTTGTGTTAATTAATGTTCAAGATTTTTTAAATCGGACAGGGGAAATAGGGTTGTATACGAACCGAATCGAGTCGAATAATGAGATTTTGTATTTGTATTTGTTTAATTTTTTCGAATATGAATTCAAATTCAAATATGAAACGAACATTAATTTCGATTTCTATTTGTATTTGTTTAACAACACGAATAGTTAACGAATCATGTACGAATATCGAAACGATTTGAGCATAGGTTAAGTATTAGTCAAATATCACTTTAAAATAATTTTTTTATACTTTTTATGTTGTAAATGCATGCTATGACATAATATGTGTATTTAGATTTTAAATTTAATGAATCAATGCATTTTTAGATGGTGCACAATATACTAAAGTGAATTAATTTTATGATGATTAATAAATATAAATCTATTTCAATTTTTTGGAATAAACACTAACACACATATTAGAAATTATACTTATAATGTGTGAAATAAGTTGATAATTATATATATCAAAGTCAACCAACTCTAATTTTATTCTTCAAATCAAATACATAATTATTTGTATTGTATTTGAAAGACATTTGAATCAAAAAAATGTTTTGTATTCATATTTATATTCTGGGTCATTACAAATGGGCTTGGTAAGTTCTTCACAACATCTCTCAAGATACACCTTTGTAGGTGTCATTGTTCCTATAATGAAGTAGATGTGAAAGATAAAAATAAGTAGAATTCATTAAGTGGTTGAGAAATTTAAAAAACATGAATAAATTTACAAAAATAGAAAAAGTAATATATAAGATCACAAGAGTAATTAATATAACATTCAGAAATGTCATAGATAAAAAAGGATCATAGAATAATCTGCTAGTACGGCTAATGATAACTATCATCATAATTTAATAATTTTACTCTCACTCAATAAAAGAACATGTAGTTTTTTTGCAATAAGATATTTATATAAATCTCGTATTGAAATCCAGTTGCTATACCTAGATTAAGATAATCATTATCATTAATTAAATAATTTAGGCGGCCATCTTTTTTC